GGGGGGGGGTTAGAGCTGGTGAGACCCGCCCCAAGGCAGGGGAACGGAGCGACAAACTCCTCATTCAATAAAATTTGCTAACCTAACGGTGCCGTGTGTTCTGTGGGGGTGTGGGGGGGGTTATCCCCCCCTTTCCCCATCACCAAGCGCTGCTGTAAACGGGCACAACGCCACCGGCTGGCCTTTCACAGGGAAGTGGAATCCTTGCAGTAATCCTTCGTTACTTCCTTTCACCAGTAACTGCCTTTTTAGCCTATTCTTCTACTAGTTTAATAGCCAAGTGAAATGCAACTTTTTACCCCATCAAAACTCTCCAAACCTGGTAGATTTTTTTTCTTACATGAACACTATAACTGGAAAATGCCTTCCAGACGCACGGAGCCGCTGCATCGCCACCCTAAGCCCAGAGCTCGGGCCCCAGGAGCAGCACACGCTCAAGGCAAGACCAAAGCACAAGCCTGCGGCGAGCTCAGCATCGCTCCCCCGACCCCTGCAGCAGTGCCCAAGTCGATCCACTCACACCCAACATGGATCTGGCCACTGGAGCATCAACCATTACCTGCCCCGAGACAAAGCAATGCACACACACACACCCCAAACCTTTCCCACTGAAGCTCTTCCCAGGATCGGGTTTTGCTCCTTGCTTTCTAGAGGAAAAGGAACCGGCATCTCTGCTCTCCCAACCCCGAGATCACCCACACAAAATAGTGCACACAGAGTGGGTTTTGCCCTTCAAACTTTCAGAAAATTATTTGGAAACCCGTTCACCCTATGCCCAGGCAGGTGCCGAGCAGCGCGCACGCAACGCTTGTGAAAGCTGAAGATCTTCAGCATTCACCCGCTTGCCTCTTTTACTGCCCTGTGCAATCAGTGGATTCCTCAAGAGGAGTGCAATTTTTTATAGAATCATAGAATGTTTAGGGTTGGAAGGGACCACTAGTGGTCATCTAGCCCAACCCCCCTGCAGTGAGCAGGGACACTGCTAACTAGATCAGGTTGCTCAGAGCCCCGTCCAACCTGGCCTTTTTAGGTGTAAGAGCCACCCAACGAGCTGCCACTATTACACCAATAGCAATAGCACATAGGTTAAGCCAGAAGCACCAATAAGGCTCTAAAAATGCAAGCTTTGCCAGCGCTGCTTGCTCTAGGTATTCCTCTCAGCCTGGACCACGGTGATCAGTGCGGATCAGTAAATCCTTGCAGCAGCCAGAGAGGAAGGGAAGCGTGGCCTCCGGTTCAGACATGGAACGGGAAAGAGAGAAGGTTTGTCCATCCTCTGGAGTGTCCCAGCCCCAAAGGCAGCCACCAAAGATGCCCACGGCTCTCTGGAGCCAGAAGCTTTCCAGGGCCTTCCCTTCAACGCTCTCAAAAACGCCTGAAACTCCTGGTAGGACAAGGGTGCAAAGGGACAGCCTAAAGTCCAAAGCGACGCTCTCCGTTAGGTTAATGTTTGCTAAATCACAGGAAGCGCAAAGAAAAGGTCCAACAGATGCCAGCAAACTTGTGCAAGACGAGAACCCGTTCAGAACTGCGAGCGCTCCCAGCCCCGTTTGCAGCCGACTGGTGCGTCCCCCTCCCCACCATCAGAGCCACGGAGTCTGTCTCTCCCCTGCCTGCGCTTTTGCAGAGATGGGTCTGCTTCTGAAGATTTTCATCCCCTTGCTGGGACTGGTGCTGGCCTTTTATTTTTATTCGGCACCTGAGAATTTCAGTGAAGGTAAGTCATTGGAATTAAAACCACCAGCAGGGAGGCTGCTGCCAGAGCGGCAGCACGTGCCCAGGCAGACGAGCAGGGGCCATTTGAAGGGGCTGTCAAAGCTCAGCTGGAAAAGCCAAAGCATGGGAGGGCTGAGAGCTCGGAGGGGAGCGCAGGCAGCCCCCGGTGCAAGCGGTCAGGGCGCCCTGTGCCGCAGAGGAAAGCTCATGGGATTATGCTGGGGTCTGCCGGGAGGCACGGTAAGTCTCTGATCTCAGCTAATTATTTATTTGCGAGACATGCAGTTATCTACTTAAAGCATTTAATCATTTTATCAGTTAACTCCCACCATTTCCAAAAGCCACTCCCAGACGAGGCTGGATGCAGAGCTCAAGCCTCGCACGCGCTCCCCACCAAACTGGGATTAACGACCAGACTCCGGTCGGGGTCCGCACGAGCGGCGCACGCTGCAGCCTGCAGCTCCCCATGCCCAAAGGCGAGGGACGACGGGGGCAGACAGAGCCATGGGTCCCGCGTGTGGGGGGACGGTGCAGGCTGCGCTGGCTCCAAGCCCTGCACCTTCCTCCCCAGAGATGCTCCGGGGGAAACGGGTGATCGTGACGGGAGCCAGCAGCGGCATCGGGGAGCAGATGGCGTATCACCTGGCACGCATGGAGGCCCCCCTACTGGC